TAATACCCAAAGGGAATCTGGACAATGCAAACTGCCTTCAAAAATAATTGTGTTTAATTGGTACAGATAAAGTTATAGTTGTGTTCAATAAAACACCAAAAAACCCCCCATCCTTCTGCTAAAGATGAGGGACAAGATGCACATTTAAATTACTGTGACATGGTATGCATGAGACAGGTTCACATCTATCAAAGGAGAACTGTATCTTTTTATGTTGCTTCCCTGTTTTTCCACTGCCTAAGTTTACAAAACTGGCAACAACACATGGTGCTGGAAATATGCTGAGAGCTAGTTTTGGAGAGTACTGGATCTGAAAATAAAACCTCTTTTCAGGTGGCAATGGTCCTCCCCTGTCCTTAGTTACAAGGAGGGTGCACACGAGTGCATAACTATCGGGTCTGTGGTGCAGAAGCACGGGCTGTGTTGGAGTTACTCCTGAACAAACCCCAGCAGTCAGGAATGGTCAGGAGTGATCACCAGTGCCCCCAGCCTCCCCTAGAGACACGACAACATGAACAAACTCAAAATCAAATGTGACAAGTACTCCTCATCAGATGCTGTGCCTTGTTACAAATCCCAGCAATACAAATGCACTCCACAATAACAAATTTGTGTCAATTTAACTGCTGCAAACTGCACTTGCTGATAGAGACAATAAACAAACTAGAAAAAGAGAGAATAATGCACAAAATTAAATGTACCTTCAAAGTACTCTGCAGTGTGAATGGTGAGGGCCAGACTCTCAGTTCTGCATGTGTGAACACAAAGCCACAGAGGGCTCTTCCCTTTGTGTCCCGGCTGCAAGATTTCTTACCTGACACCTCATGGGGATGATGCAAACAACACCAACAAACCACCCTTCCACCAGGAAGGAAGAAAACCTCCCAATTTATGCACCACCCAGAAAAAGTACAGGTTTTTGATATGGTGATTTACATTTAAATAAGGTCTACAATACATTTATTTACTGATTGATGCGTTTTGTGTTTTTTAAATCAGGAACTCAGACAAATGTAAAGATAAATTAAAGCATGTGGAAACCTCACACCCACACCACTTTGTTCAACCGATGCTTCAGGTCTGAGAGACTTGGTAAGAAAACTTCCCAAAAGCACTTTCACCAGCTGTGGAAACCTGTGGCCATAAAGAACTGACTACAACTGGCATCAGGGTGCTACAGCCCCTCCATAGCTGCAGCTTTCTGATAGCAAACATTATTTTGTTTTTAACCACTGTGCTGTCCTTAGTGTCTCATGTGGCTGCTGGGATGGAAGAACAGCACCCTCTGCATTTTACTCTCAGATCTGCAATGCACTTTTCCACTCCTTTAAAATGGAAGGAACTTTGCAGAAATAACAAAAAGGTCACACTGGACAGCTCATTTTGTCTTCCTCAACAGAGAGAGACAATGGGCAGGGGACTTCAAATGAGGCACAGAGAGCCACAGAGGAAACCACAGGTTTCATTTTTTCCTTCAGAGCCTGTATTTAGTGAGGCCTCAGCCCCCAGCATGAGAGATAACTGTGTTATGTTTGTGAGGCCTCCTCCCTCAGCACAAGAGATATTGTGCAAATATGTCAGGTCACCCTAAGAGGTTCTGTGAATTCAAATAATCTGATGTTAACTGAAAGATGCAGGTGAACACTCTCTAATTCCTCTCTTTCGGCTTTCTCAGGCCTCAGGAGAGTTACCTGCAGAGAAGATGTTCCAGTTTCAGCAGCCAGGGTAATCTTCGACAACATACTTTGGGAAGCAGGTTGGATAGTGGTAGTTTTGCTTTTTGGTTCAGAAAGTTCTTTTCTAAACTCTTCCTCCACTCACCCCTCCTCTCTCCAGTACCCTCATTTAAAGCAGCCTGAGCTCCTGTGCATCATTCAGAGCTGAAAAGCAGGGTTAGTTCTTTTCCTTCCTTCATCCATGACTCTGCTCCTGAGCTCCCTGCAGCTCAAACAGGAGCATCCTGGAGGCACTGCAGCCTGTGCTGCTTGTGAGCAGCCACAGAGGATCAACATTGCAGTTTGTGCTCTGCAACTGAGGCAGGCTGTGCTGGCAGCTCACAGTGTGAGTGATACAAGCACTCTTCTTGCAAGCCCTGATAAAGCTACCCCTGACTGCCAGAACATGAACGTTATTCCTCCCAGAGTTCTCTCTTTGCTGAAAGATTGCTGGTTTGTAGTTACACCAGGTTACAGCCCTGGTGAGAAGGAGCTCTATTGAATTGCAGAACCCAAGTCTAATAATTAACCTGAGAACTGATCTCTGCTTCTTTAAATGGAGCAGTTCCATTTCCTCTTTAAAAAATTTCCATTTCTGTCCCATAAGGAAAGTGTCTTCTCCTGACAAAGTAACGCTTTTCCCCTGCACCCTGAGAAGCCAAAACATAACACCAGATGCACCCTGCACTAATTCCAAAAGCTCTGCCACTTAATCCAGTCCAACAGAGTGGTGCACTCCAACCTCTGACATTACAGCTGCTGCCTTAAAGAACATGAGCTACTCCTTACCTACATCCCACAGCTGCACGGGGCTGTCCAGGACAGAAACAGGGAATCTCAGCACTAAGAACATGAGCTACTCCTTACCTACATCCCACAGCTGCACGGGGCTGTCCAGGACAGAAACAGGGAATCTCAGCACTAAGAACATGAGCTACTCCTTACCTACATCCCACAGCTGCACGGGGCTGTCCAGGACAGAAACAGGCAATCTCAGCACTAAGTTCAACACCTGCTCCAGATGCTATCACTGGCTGATCTCCTATCCATGGGAGTCTGCTCCAGTCACCAGGTTTCTTATGGCAGAGCTATTCACAGTGGTCACAAACCAGGATTAGGCAACATTCCCATCAGGACACCATGTCTCAGTCCGGGAAATCAAAGCCCACAAGACCACCATGTGCTCACTGGACAGCTGAATTGCTCTCTTCCAGCCTTATTAACAAATGGAGTTCGACTACATTGAGAAAATTCCATGATGTCACTAATGTATAAAATTTGATTTTGTTTAACATGACATTTGAGTTCAGAAAAAAGTCTTTGCTCTGAATTCCAACTACTCACTAACACCACTAAGAATGTAAGTAGCTAATTCCCAGATTTTCTTCTGACCTTTTCCCACAATTCCCATTAGGTTTTAAACCACAAGATTAGCAGAGCTATTGCCAAGAAAAGACTTCCACCATCCCCACCATGGAACCATAGGCAAAGTATGCAGAAATAAACACCCAGGGGCAAATTCCCTCTCACTTGGTTATTGATTTCCATGAAGAGCTTTGCAACAAGAATGGATGTGACCCTTTGCCCTAAACTGGGCATCCACGGTGTCAACACTTGGGGTTGCTGAAGAAAGCAGATTTGCAAAGAAGAAATCAGGATGGAGCTCAGCTGCCAGCCCAGCACTGAATCCACTCAAAGCCAGATCCTGCCCAGCCAGCACAGACTCCTAAATAATCACAGGAAGCTTTCAGAGCTGTCAGCTGCTGAAGGCTGATGGAGAAGGGGCAGTTCACCTCACACCTCAGAGGGGCTGAGGCCTCAGACCATGTTCCTGTGAGGAAGGGTTTTGCACTGGCACTGCCCTGTGTGCAGTCCCTGGTGTCTGCTAACACACCTCAGAGGGGCTGAGGCCTCAGACCACCCCCCTGAAGAAGGTTTCTGCACTGGCACTGCCCTGTGTGCAGTCCCTGAGGTCTGCTAAGGCAGCTGGGCTCACGGCTCAGTCCCTGTCAATCCCCTGATGCCTCATTACACATTTAGGTCCATGCTCCAGCTTCGCCCTGGGGCTCCTCTCCTCTCTCCAGACACCAGTCTCCATGAGACCCAAACTGCTGTCACTGTGTCACAATCAGCCAGCAGTTTCCAGAAGCTTCTGGAAGATGGGGGCAATGAGAAGGGAGACAAGACCAAGCAGACATTCCTACATGATAAGGATGTTTTTCCTGAGACAATCAGGCTAAACACACCATTGAACGCTTCAACAAATGGACACTGAGATATCACTGATTCCTCTGAGAGCTGAAATCCCATTTCTTGATCCAGCAGACAGAATCTTGCTCCTTTCCTTCATTTTCAAAATTGGCCTCATTAGATTATCTTGCTCTTCAAAACAATTTTGGATACAGAACTAATTCATACCGGGATGAAGAGCAAAGAAAGATTTATAAAAAAATCAGAAGTCATGAAAATCTCAATTCCCTCACCCTTTAAAAATCCATCCCTGGTTCTCTCTTTCCCTTCTGCCTCATTCCTTTTCTCCACATTATACCTCATGCTTTTATTTAATTAAGCAAGTAAAAATACCTTAAAATTGCCTTTTGCCTGGATTTTCTAATTTTGCTTCTCCTTCTACTACACAGAGAGAAAAAAATCTAACACTGAAGTCAAATACCAGTATCTGGTCCTAATGTTTTTATATCATCAGTTTTGATAGAATGTGGTTCCCAGGATTCAACCATTGCTGCACGAATTGCATATTCACTTGATGCCTGTTCCAGATGTGACCCTCCATACGCTGAGCTGCTAGTACAGCAACACAGAGCATCCAATGGAAACCATGGCATCACCACACACCTGCCAGCTTGCAAAGCTTCATGTTTCAGGGCCTAGTTGCAAAACAAGCCTGTACTCTCACACTCTTTTGATCTTATGTCCCTACTTTAAGATATTTGATAGTTTAATTATTACAATTATTATTTTATTACACCATTATATGTCACATTATTATTAGATATTCTATACTAGATGACATATTAACATAGAGTACATTATTACTATTAAACAATTGGATAATTAAGATATTAGGCTAATAAGATTTTTTAGACACTAGACATTGGGATATTTGGGTACTAGAATATTAGGATTTAGATATTATGACCATGGTAGCACAGAAGCTCTGGCACTCTGGGTAGGATATTTCCAATGAATGAGCAAAATCATAGACTGTTTAAGAAGACTTCAGCAATGCAGTAGAGAAAGACAGGCTGAGAAAAGTAACCAATTTACCTGAAGTATGAGCAGCATCTGAATAATAGAGGGTGGAACTCTGGCTCTGGAACGGGATAATGCATCCTCCAATTTGATATTGAGGGTGATTATATTCCTAAAGTGCAGAAGAGCCAACTGCCGAACAGAGGGCTCCTTTCCCTTGGAAACACAAAGACAGTAAGACAGATTATAAGCAGTGTGAAATGAGTTCCAAAATTCTCTGTTCAAACTCCTTCCTCCACTCCTGAGGGATTACAGGAATGGCAAACCCAAATGAAACATGAAGGAAACATCCCAAAGGACAGAGAGCAGCCCCCAAGGCTGCACAGTAAATTTGATTTGGCACCAATGAACTCTACAGATGTGACTGTGTCTGACTGCACGTGCTAAGGATGAAGGGCTGGGGTGGGATGGGAGCTGCATGAGATAGGAATATTTTGTATTTTAACAGTTCGTCACAAATTAAATGTATCATAAGTTAAAAAAAGAGGCAGAGGCACAACTGCAAGTTGGTTGAATTTCCATTATTTTGTAAGATTTTGAATATTCCCTGTTTACTCTCTCCAAATTTGGCAGGAATCCTGACTCAGCCCAGCTGTGGATGCTCCTCTCTGTACAGTTTGAGAGATTCACTATAAAGCAGGAGCAGAGCTGAAGTTTGCTGCTGCGTTTTCAAAGCCATCTGTCTTTGGTTCAGCAATGCCTGCTCACTGAGGAGGACTCCAGCTGCACAACACAACTCCAGCTCTGTCTGCAGGGCTCATGCAGAGCTGTGAAACTTTCTCTCTCTGCCATGAGGGGTTTTTCCTTGGCTATACTTGGCTGTACCTATGGCAGCTTTGGTGTTCAACTGGGGTTGACTTAAGTCTGGAATAAATAAGCCTGACCCAACCCATTCCTTCTCACTTCCTAAATTATTTACACTGAAGTAAAGAAGGTCCCATATCAGCTTCAGTTGCTAATGAATAGAATTTACAAGAGCACATAAGCACCAATTGGGCTTTTGGAAGAAATGTCAGAACATGGGCAACAAGATCTATTTGAATTTACATGAGACTTAGGATTCTTAAATCCTCAAGGTTCCTTTGGAAATTCAAGTAATTATTTCCATCTGACAGGGGATAAGACTTGTGTTACTGAAATATTGTCAAAGGCCTCAGATACACAACAGAGTTTAATTCAGACTTCACAGCTGTGACTGTCTGAAGATGCAAACAGTAATATCGTTTACATCTGGGTAATCATTTGAGCCATAAAGTCCACTTGAACAAATGGGAGAAGGTTTCTCAAGTTTCCCTTGATATATTCGGGCACCCAGTTCCCACAAAAACCTGTAGGCATCTATGCACAACTGCAAACATCACTGGCACCTGTGTGGTACAGATTTCCTTGAGACTTCAGTGACAAACAATACTCTCTGGCTATCACTGCATTAGAAGATCAAGCACCTATTGTGTATTTAAAATTACTGCACTCAAAATCTGTGCTCATCAAACTCCACTGACTTTTGCTGTCCACTTACCATAGCAGAGAATCTGATCTCAGAAACACAATTCCTTTTCAAAAATGGAGATACTTCTAGGACAAAATTCACAGTGCAGAGAAGGAAATGCATATATTTAAGTCAACACAACTCCATTTATTCCACTCTGCAACACTTCAGTTTATCATTCATGACATTTTTTGACTTTTAGTGTGATTGGCAGATGGACTAACCAGCCTCTCTGCACTCTGCTTTTATTTTCCAAGTTCCCCTTCATCTTTTCCATCTGAGCACCTCAAACCACGCACATAAGTAACTTATTTGTATGACATGGCTAAACAGAACAGCTGCACTGGAGGCTGGCCCAAGGAGAGAGACTGAAGGATTGCATCAATCTGCTGATGAACCTGTAAAGCTGCTTTTTCCAGTTTTCTAAGATTCTATGATAACACAGTATTTTTTTCACCTGCACAGGATAGAAAATAGCCTGCAGCATGGGCAGGACATCACTGAAGAAAAAATCCCAGGTTTCAGCTAAGGTATCCAGTAGCTTCTGCCCTGCAAAAACACAAAACAAACTAGTGAAGAGTTTTGGTTGTAATCAGATGGCTGCAAAAAGTAAAACGTGCAGGAAACAATGTGACCCTGCTATATGCTAGGATAAACCATGCAGCAGCTACTTGTTAGTTTTCCACAGTGGTGTATCGGATCCTTCCATATTTGTGTCTTTCCAGGTGACTCACCTAATATTCTTAATAAACTCAGAGTCTGAGGTGACTCAGGAGAACCCTGTGAAGAATGAAGAGTAATGGCCCAGGTTACACCTTCCTCTTGCAGTAACACTTGCTGGACAGGACTGTGGAGGGGAGCAGGGGGAGAGCACAGCAGAGTAGGTGTGGGAGCATTCCTGCAGAGGAACTCACCCCACTGTGCTCCCTCCTGCCTTTCAACTCCAGGGCAGCAGAGCAAAGCACATCCTGTGGAGATGCTCTGTAAAGCATCCTCCCAAACTGCCTCCTCCCAAATGGCATCCTCTCAAACTGCATCCTCCTAAATAGCATCCTCTCTACTGCGGCGGGGCAGCAGAGCAAACCACACTCAGTGGAGATGCTCTGTAAACATCCTCCCAAACTGATCCCTTGCAGTTTTTCCACTGTTCCCTTCTCACTTCCACAGAAAAACTCACCCAAGTCCATGGAAAGAACGATCGTGTTAGGGCTATAATTTTTACTCTCACTTTCATGCAATGCAGTTAGAATTTGCTATGGGGAGAGTTCCCCACAGCCCTCATCACAAGGCCACCTCCAACCCATTCCTTCCCAATCCTCACAACAAGGCCCCCTCCATGTCCATTCCTTCCCAATCCTCACAACAAGGCCCCCTCCATGTCCATTCCTTCCCAATCCTCACAACAAGGCCCCCTCCATGTCCATTCCTTCCCAATCCTCACAACAAGGCCCCCTCCATGTCCTGGCATCCTCACAACAAGGCCACCTCCATGTCCTTCCCCAGCTGCAGCCACCTGGAATCCTCCCCAGCAGAATCTGGAGAAGCTCTGGCCAGGCTGTACAACCAAGCTGGATATTGAGCTCCTCACAGAACATTTTACACAACACAGAGGCAAACGCAGGAGCCAAGATCCACAGAGGAGATATGGTTCAACAGGTGGGCTCTGGCTTCAGATCCCCGTTCCCCAAAAGGGCCCATGTGACCCTGGACAAGCTCTCTACCATGCCTGTGACCCCAAGCCAGCTGTGAGAGCAGAGCAATGCCTGCACCTCCACCAGCAAGTGTTATGGAGGAGAAGACATCAGAGATCCTGACCTATTCAGACAAGACAATAGGACTTACCAGGAAGCAAATTCAGTAGCAATCAATCAATATTGCTATTGGTGTCAGAACGTGATGCTATTCTCAATTTTTGTATTAGAGCATTACTTGGAGCCTCATCCAGGGAGTATTTTGTCCAGAATTACACACATATCACAAAGCAATTCTGCATGAAAGCACTGACACTGGTGACTGCACTCAGAGTTAGCCAGTCTTCGCTATGGGATACTTGATACCTCTACCTCAAGCACATGATGAATAACATCAGCTGTGGTGAATCTGCAGCTCCTGAATGATTTCCTTGCTGATGACTCTAAGTGCTTTCAGTGACAGATATGGATCATCATGCTATACTGTGTTCCACCAGCTGCTGGCTTGTGGAACACACCAAGATTGTTTTTCAGCACCACCAGGCAGGAGTTCTCTCCATCCTGCACAAGACTGAAAAGGGTGTTCTGTTTTAATTTTTAAAACATTTTAAAAAAAATCTGTTTTTCATTAGTTTTAATGAAATACAGCAGGAGACCAATGAAAAGATTTCTTGCAGCTGTAACAGTAGTAGTACTAGTAATAATAACAATGGTGGCAGTAGTAGTAACAGTAATAATAAACATGTGCTGGTTTTGGCTGGGATCAGTTTCTTCCCAGGAGCTGGCAGGGGCTGGAACAGTGCTGATGACACAGGGATGTTTCAGTTATTGCTGGGCAGGGTGTGCACAGAGCCAAGGCCTTTTCTGTTCCTCTCCCACCCCGCAGTGAGGGCCTGGGAGGAGACACAAGGAATTGGGAGGGGTCTATTTTCACTTCTCCTGAGCGGGATGTCACTGAAGGAGACGGAGGCGTCCTTGCTGGAGACAATCCTTCCCTGACTCCCTCTGTGCTGCTCTGGGCAAGCACCTCTCCTTTGAAAAGGTTAATGAGAGCACCAGGGCAGGGCCCAACAGCAGACTGCAGGGATGGACTGAGACACGCTGACCTGCAGTGCCAGGAACAGAGCGGAGAGCATGGATTGAGAAATGGACTGAGGGATGGACTGAGACATGGTAACCCACAGGAACAGAGGGGAGAGCACGGATGCTGACCCACAGTGCCAGGAACAGAGTGGAGAGAATGGATTGAGGGATGGACTGAGACATGCTGACCCACAGGAAAAGAATGGAGAGAATGGATTGAGGAATGGACTGAGACACGCTGACCCACAGGAACAGAGTGGAGAGCATGGATTGAGAAATGGACTGAGGAATGGACTGAGACATGCTGACCCACAGTGCCAGGAACAGAGTGGAGAGCATGGATTGAGGAATGGACTGAGGGATGGACTGAGACACGCTGACCCACAGTGCCAGGAACAGAGTGGAGAGCATGGATTGAGGAATGGACTGAGGGATGGACTGAAACATGGTAACCCACAGGAACAGAGGGGAGAGCACGGATGCTGACCCACAGTGCCAGGAACAGAGTGGAGAGCATGGATTGAGGGATGGACTGAGACATGCTGACCCACAGGAACAGAGTGGAGAGAATGGATTGAGGGATGGACTGAGACATGCTGACCCACAGGAAAAGAATGGAGAGAATGGATTGAGGAATGGACTGAGGAATGGACTGAGACACGCTGACCCACAGTACCAGGAACAGAGTGGAGAGCATGGATTGAGGGATGGACTGAGACATGCTGACCCACAGGAACAGAGTGGAGAGCATGGATTGAGAAATGGACTGAGGAATGGACTGAGACATGCTGACCCACAGGAACAGAGTGGAGAGCATGGATTGAGGGATGGACTGAGACATGCTGACCCACAGGAACAGAGTGGAGAGCATGGATTGAGGGATGGACTGAGACATGCTGACCCACAGGAACAGAGTGGAGAGAATGGACTGAGGAACGGATTGAGGAATGGACTGAGACACACTGACCCGCAGTGCCAGGAACAGAGATGAAGAGCATGCCAGTGTCTCCAGAATGCATTTGCTAAAACACCTGTGACACACATAGCCATGCTAAAATCCAAGTTACCTTCATAAAACCAGATCTTGTCCCTTAGGATCACCATGCCTTTTGTGAGCAGCTGATTCTGTAAATAAAACACACACTACATTTACTCAATCCTGTACTTCCCTACAGCCATCATATTCCACATTTTGTTCATTCTTAACTTTAGACAGTGAAGGGGGTCTTTTATTTTAAAAATTAATCATCAAAGAGCACTTGCTGTGTCCATCTTATTTAACTCACTTGGGACCCTTGTGAAATTCTGCTATGATCACCTGCTGTTTTTAGGACAAAGGATGTATTTTGTGCAGTATCAAGTGCTTCTCGAACTTCAAATGCCTGACCTACAAAACATGTACTTAGAGAAGCAGAAAGAATATTGCTTCAACAGACAGTGGTACTGACTTCCAAAAGTCTTTCCTAGTAACTCTATTGCAATGAACTTCCCTGGTTTACTCAAGGACTTCTATTTTAAGCTAAAAACCAAGGTCTGAAACCAAAAGAAAGACAGCAGTGACCTACAGAAACATGTGGTAGGGTGGGCTTTCCCTGTCTAACTATCCGTGTGTATACAAAATCCCAATCTCGTTAATCCGTTCATTTCAAAACCACAGAGGAGTCACTGGACATCTCTGAATGCTTTCAAGGGTCTCCAGGTCATCATTTAGAGTGGGTAAAATTATTGTTCTCAGTAGCATAAAACAGAGTTGTCTTTAAATAAAGAAAACACAGGCCTACCTGCAGATACTCAGTGAAAAATGATCCCAGCTCTGTTTTCAGTAATTGCCTGTATTAAAAAGAGCAAAAAAAGAATCATGGTTTCCATCAGTGCATTTCTAGTCAGCTTGCATGTTCAGCCAAATGAGATGCTGCAATAAATTCAACTCAACAATGTCACCAAGCATCACTGTGGTGCAGGGTTTATAGCCAAGTAAATTAAAGCAAAATTTGGGCACATTTCTGTCTGTTTGTTGGTTCATACCAGATTATATTTGTCTGACACATCAGCAGAAATTTTTTTCTCTTCTGCCCCTCAGCAACAGATGAGCACATTAAGGGAAATGCACTGGGCCAAGCAATGTCAGTCCAGAAGTACCTTTTTTGTCAGTCAGATAAAGCTGAACAATCCTAAAGGCACTTACAGTAATAACACTGACTAACCATTATTCCAGCAAGTAACTCAGCATGATTGATGGATCAGGCTGACTGACAGACAACCTACAAAAGCTACTCCTTGTATGTCATTTTCTCACCAGCCATGTAAGAAATAACTGAAGAGTGAGTTTATTTTCATTTCAAGAAGAGCAAACACAGGCCCTGTATCATCTGGCTGGACTTTTCTGAAGATATTTCCACAATGAAAGGAACCAGACTGGGAATCAGACAGAGACAGATGAAGCCAGAATATCTGTGTATTCTGGGGAATATACTGGAGTGTCTGCCTCCAGTGCCCAGCCAGAGCAGCAATAAGCAGTAAGGGAAAGGGAATAACTGAGGATCATATCTGGGGACAGCTAGGGAACATAATAAGCTGTCTTTTGTAAGTGCAGATTCTTTCCCACCATTTATTTTATAAAGCATTGGACAAATTTCCATAAGGAAGTCTGCTGCTTTGCCCTTGCCAGTGAGAGGGTTGGGTAAGTAATAATAAGTGCTGAAAAAGTAGTAAAATGTGAAGTGTTGTAAATCCAGATATCAGCTTATATCTTGGTATATTTTCTTTTCAACTGTAACTTAAATAACTCAAATGGTAGAAATTTCACTTTTTTTTAAAGGGAAGAAAGTTCCCATCATACATCTCACTGGCCTACAGTTAATCTGTTGCAGACAAACTGGCACTGGGACAAACCTGAACCCTCTGCAGCAGCAGCAGCTGTGACTGTGCTGGGCACAACTGGCACTGGGACAAACCTGAACCCTCTGCAGCAGCTGTAGGTGCCAGGGCTGGCACGCAGCACTGAGCACTGGCTGAGAAGGCCCTGCAGCCCCAGGCTCTTACCTGACTCCTTCATTGAGGTTGTAGAGCTCATGGTCTGGCAGACCCTTGCGCTGGAACACTGCTATCACTCCATTGTGGATGCTGAAAGAGGACATGAAGAGTCATTAGTGCCCAGCATGATTTGAGAAGGTAACAACTCCACAATTATCCCAGCATTTCTGTCTAGACACTTCAGGTCCTTTTAAAAGTCATAGATGACTTCTGGTACTCCCCCTATCCCAGATGCCTAAAAGGAAATTACTGCCTAGAGGATAGATAACAACTTTGAAAATCAGCTCCTTTTGATTTGTTCCAGCTCAGTGGCTTCAACAGCTGAACATCTGAAATCAGCAATTTCAAAAACTTAGGCCAGTATTTTTAAGTACTGCAAGTATTTATTTTCAAGTACTCCCACTGCAAGGGGCTGTCCCTGCAGGAGCTGTGCCAGGCAGCAGCAGGGACTCCCTTGGCAATGCCAGTGCCCACGTTACCCTTCCCCAGGCCCATGCTAGGACAGCTCCCTAGCTGTCCCCAGGCACACAACAGCAAAGAGATGCACTATGAGAAAAGCTCAGCCAGCTTCACCTGAGGAGGAAGGAAACTGCAAGTGGCAGTGAAGGGCCTGAACAGCTGTGGGGAAACACAGACGTAGCCAGAAATAAGAACCACTGTCCTCTTCTCTCTTTTGTTCCTCTGAAGATGCTTCCAGGGCCTCACACACGACTGTGCCGCAGCAGTCCCTCCCTCCCCCTACACCCACAAGCACAGATAACATCCACGATCTAACCCAGATTATTTTGGCTGGCTCACACAGACACACTCAATTTACAATTACCTGAAAATCAGCAGATAAATGTCTGGTACACAGTGAAGTGACGTGGGTATTTTAACATTATGAGTAATATGGAAAATAAGATCAATGCAGTGAATAAAACAAGCAGTCCTTACACACTCTTCTGATTCAGAAATGAACTCTGCAATGTTGCCTGCCAGACTTCTGCAGGGAAGAATGACTCAGTATCTCTCCTAAAAGGCAACGTGCTCCCTGTCTTTCCCTCTGGCACCCCTTTCTAAATGAGAGAGAGGTCTTCTTTCCCCAACTTAAGAGGTCCATCATTATTCCTCAAAGATATAAGAGAGAGCAAGCTTTTTTAACCAGAATTAAAAGGGACAGGTTGTGAGCATTTAACTTATTGTCTGTATAGCAGAACAGCATCTACATAAAACATCCTAACAGTGAACTTTCAATCTGCCCTGATGTCCCTTGTAGTGAGGGACAAGATCCTTTTCTGGAAAACAAGCCCTGGCCTCATTATCTGACCACCTGCCTTTCCTTCTCATCACAGACAGCAGTGCTGGTATGGAAGGTGCAGGATACACCCCCAGCCTGCAGCTTATGTGGGATGCTGCTGTGGCCTCAGTTTGTGCACGGATAATGAAAAGTTTGCTTAAATCTTCCTAGTTATCTTAAACTAGTGAAATAAAACAGACCTAGACCCTGATTAAATCAAGAGGTTTCTATAACAAGTGATTGCTTTAAAAGGTTTGGTGGGAATGGTTCAACCTTTTGGTGTAAAGAAAATCTGAGCTGCTGCTTACACACAGCAGTCCTGCAAGATGCTTGAGGTGGGTGGATGGCTTAACCTGTGCCTGCAACCAGCTTTCACTGAGGCTTAAGGCAGTGATGTACACAATGAAACTTATACTGCAGTAGTTAACCTGAATGGAAAATGCCTGTAAACTCTGTTCTCTAACTCTTTCACAACATGGAAGTTAATAATGAGTGCCTTCATGCACTAATATTGCTGTGAGCACCTCCTGTGTACTTGCTTTGTGTGTGTGTGTGTGCACAGAACATGGCACTGCAGGAAACAGTGTCCAACAGATAATGGTGTTAATGAGTTGTTAATGGGTGCCCTCGAGCACTAATATCGCTGTGAGCACCTCCTGTGTGCCTCCTGTGGGGTGTGTGTGTGTGTGTGCACAGAACATGGCACTGCAGGAAACAAGAGTCCATAGCTAATGGTGTTAAATGGGTTAATTAATAATGAGTGCCCTCATGCACTAATATTGCTGTGAGTGCCTGCTGTGTGTGTAAGGGTGTGTGCACAGGAACACGGCGCTGCAGGAAACAAAACAGAGTCCAATAGAGCCCAAAACCTCCACAGAGCAGGCTCGCTGGAGGAGGGGAAATCAGGAGGTGGAAACTGGAGAGACCCTTTTTGGGGGTTGCCTTTAGAGTAACAAAATGTCAGATGGCTCCAGCAATGTACTGCACTGATCCATCCCACTACAGATTGCCAAAGCAAACTGCCAACACCCAAGGCAGCCCTCACAGCCACAAGAACCAACTCAGCAGCCCGAGAAACTTCATCTCATCCAAAAGACAGCTCATTGCATGTTGGACTGAACTCCAGAGGACGGGGTGGCTCCAGCTGACCAACACGTGGGGAATGGCAGCTCCAGCACACACAGCACAGACCTTCCCCACCACTGGCCTCACCATGAAGGGAACTGGAAGGTGCAGATCCCTGAAGCACAGAGCTGGGTGCTTGCTGATGGCACCCCCAGCCAGCCCAACAGGGTCCAGGTGCGCAGGGCGGGGTGGATTATTCTGATATTTACACAGTATTATCAATTATAGGCTGCTGCCTCCAGAGCTCATCACCACCAAAACAGACATTTCTCTTGAGCTGCTGTTTGTCCATCATCACCACCAAAACAGACATTTCTCCTGAGCTGCTGTTTGTCCATCCAGACACCTCTGGGGTGGGAGGCTGGCTCCCTCCAGTACCACCCAGAGCTGTTCTTTCACTGACATCTGGAAGCCAAGAAGGAAAAACTACTGGGATTAAAGCAGTTTTCTGCAGGTCAGACTCAGCCTGGCCAGAGATGAGGAACTACTCCAAAGCTGAGCTTGCAAGTTCTTTAAGTCCTCATCTTGTGTGTGTTTCAGCCATGGCCATGGCCCTCCCAGCTGGGCATTTCCTGGCAAAGCAGCAGCACTGGCCAATGTTGATACTCCATATCACACATCACACAGATCATTTCAGTTCTCTACAGCAGCCACAGCCTTTGTGTGCAAACAGCACAGGTAAAATATCACCCTGATTTTTTATGCAGTGCTTGCAGATTCTGCCCTTCCCAGAGCTCCAGGTGAAGTCCAGGAGAAAAAACAATGCTGTGTGAATAATCACACCCTCTGACTACCAGGCAGTTAAAGACAACATTTTTGCTTTCAAAAGGGACTACATTAGTTAGGACAGATTTCCTCTTCACAGTTACATAAACAGCTAATTAACAATAATTAACCTGATATACTTGCATCAAAACCTTCTTGAAGTCTCCTTCACCAGCCCTGCTCTCCCTCCCACCCCACAGTGAGATTTCTGTCTGCCCCCCATGCACACAGTGGGCCAAACACTCCACACAGGGCTTCAAATAAAGGGTCAGGGGAAAAAAAGATTATCCTCAGGGAGGCAGAAATATTTTAAAATATTTCTAAATAAAAACTGAATAACGGAAGAAAGAGAAAAATATGCTGATCTGGAATATTTTCTCCACTGGAAAAGTCTTCTTGTGATCTGAAAAAACATTAATCTTAAATGATGAGACGAAATATGGTTTTTATGGCTGTAAAAGTTATTTTACAGGAAGTTGTTGTGCTGATTACAACCCTGTAAAAAATTAGCCCAGGCCATAAAATCCTTCCAGGTATGGTACGTCCCCTGGGATTTACTGCTGATCTCACTGATGTCACAAGAAACTTACCTGTTTTCTTCACCTTTCCTTTGCTATCTCCTACGCCTTCATGTCTCTGTGAATTTCCCATATTTTCTTACATCCAAGAGGATCTGAGAGCCTTTGGCTAGAGGCTTTCCCAGAGCACAAGGCAGCGTGTGCTGGCTCAGTCAGAACAAACACCCTGCCGTGATTTATCCGGCCTCACCGGGCCCCTGGTGTGTGAGCCCAGGATTAAACCCCGCGTTTCGCAGCCCAACTGGTTCAGTCAGCATTCAGCCTTCATTTCTTCCCTGAAGCAGAAATGGGGCTGAGGGGGAGAACAAGAACTGAAGACAGGGCTAGTGAAAAAAATCTGAACTATTTTAGTGAAATGCAAATTGTGTGAGCTGTAATTCAGTAAATTGTTCCGCTATGTTGCCATTGGCTGCTAGTGAACTGCACCGTCAGGGTTTGCTGCACAGATCCAGGGTCCACGGGAAAGCAGGCTCTGAAAAGCCATGATACAAAATCTCGTTTGCCTAACAGCAGGCAGCAGCTTGGCACTAAATGCCCTTTGATGTTACAGTACTGAGAAGCATCACTGCATTGTAGTTCAGACGTGAAGAAAAGCACTCAGGGACAAAGTGACCTTCCTTGCTCCCCCAGCAGGCTGAATCTGGCTCTTTCACGCTGTCCTGCCCTGATGTGCAAATGCAGAAATAATCCTCAGGTATGAGAATTCAGCCTGAGCTGGGACTGCTGTGAAGGGGGCAGAGGCAGGGCAGGGGACACCACTGGACCATGGTGGCCACACAGCGAGTGCAGAGGGGCAGCCATGCATGCACCCCTCTGGAAACATGCACAGGGACAGAGCTGCTGTGCTGTGAGAGACAGAGCCCACGAGCAGCAGGGACAGAGCTGCTGTGCTGTGAGAGACAGAGCCCACGAGCAGCAGGGACAGAGCTGCTGTGCTGTGAGGGACAGAGCCCACGAGCAGCAGGGACAGAGCTGCTGTGCTGTGAGGGACAGAGCCCACGAGCAGCAGGGACAGAGCTGCTGTGCTGCACAGCACAGAGCCCACGCGCAGCAGGGACAGAGCTGCTGTGCTGTGAGAGACAGAGCCCACGAGCAGCAGGGACAGAGCTGCTGTGCTGTGAGAGACAGAGCCCACGAGCAGCAGGGACAGAGCTGCTGTGCTGTGAGGGACAGAGCCCACGAGCAGCAGGGACAGAGCTGCTGTGCTGCACAGCACAGAGCCCACGAGCAGCAGGGACAGAGCTGCTGTGCTGCACAGCACAGAGCCCACGAGCAGCAGGGACAGAGCTGCTGTGCTGTGAGAGACAGAGCCCACGAGCAGCAGGGACAGAGCTGCTGTGCTGCACAGCACAGAGCCCACGAGCAGCAGGGACAGAGCTGCTGTGCTGCACAGCACAGAGCCCACGAGCAGCACCTCAGCTTCCCAGCCCCTGCATGGCCAGGGCAGCATCCCTGCTCTGCCTGCCGATCTGCCTTCCAGCACAGGATCTGTTCGTGTGGGGCCGAACCTGCTGCGTGCTGCGCCTCCACTCTCCCCGCTCAGCTCTCTCAGACTCGATCAAAGGCTCTTTGAACAGCAGATACACACGTGCCACACCCAGGCACAGCTGCTAACACCAGGCAAGAACACAGCAGACATGTTAATATAGAACAGCCAGCCCTGGAGAGAAGGGAGAGCTCTGCTGGTGCAGCTGGCCTTCCCTGATCAGCAGGCTGTTATGCTTACACAGAATAAAACAATACAAGCAATCATTTCATTGGGAAGGAAAAATACTTCTGTAAACCAAAGTATGCAAAGTGTCCCATGTTGGATTGTTTCAATTTTGCAGCAGAAACAGAGAAGAAATTCCACAGCCCAAGATTTAAAAAAGCCAGACCAGATTTCTGGTGAGTCAAACTTTGGATGTCCAGGAACATCAGTGTCCCCAGGAGAGATGAACACAGGTTCCCTCAAGACTAGACCCTGCTATATTTGTCAAGATGGACATGCACTGGTTATAGGCAAAAGGTACAGTAGATCATTTCCTAATCCATCTAATTCAGTGTCATTTAAGACCTGGTCTTCCTCATGACAAAGACCCAGTGTTTCAGTCTGTAAAATATCTGAGTTTCTTAACAGCAACAGATGACACAAGTCATTCTGAGCCTGAAAGAAGAATTACCCTCACTCTTTCACTCAGAAGAAAGCCTTGCCCTGTTAAACAAGAAACCAAGGGCCTTCCCTTTGCCCGTGCAGTGACCCCGCTCATGTCTGCAGTGAAAATTAAAAGTTACAAACTCCTGCCTGCTAGCAAACGCATCCCAGCTAGGGAAATCCTCTAGTTTGAGTGCCAGCAGGCCCAGGCCTGGAACTCTGTGCCTCCCAGCAAGCTGGGTGCCTGACCTGCTCTCCATTCACAGCGGCCTCCACAGCTCCCTCCCCACATGCAAAGCCTGGAAAAACCAAGCTCTGCCAGCAAAAGCTGTCAGCACACCATCGCAAAAAGGCTCTGGGGACTCTGTTCTGCCACCCTGATCCCCTCCCAGGAGTCTCGTACTCCCTGCTGCCTCCCCTGGGGCAACTGGCCAAATGAAGTCCCAGCTGGCACAACTCAGGATGGCCCAATCTATCCTTGAACTACCACCACCATCCATCTGCACATCAGCTACAACTCAGGGTCACACAAACAGCATGATACTTGAGAGGAAAATCAGTCTCTTTGGTGACCAGCACAGTTTCAGAGTTTAGTGCACTGTTGGCATCAAGCAACTAATTCTTAATACAGACATGAAACCACAAATCAAGTGGTGAGAAGGACAGAAGGTATGCTACTTAATATATTTTATTTTTCTCAGAATTTTAGCAAATTTGTCTGTAGTTCACTGGTATTTTTCTTCCTACAGTTGAACCACCTTACACTTATAAAATACTACAGATGGCACTTTCCAAGCCATGATCCAGGAGGTGACATTTCATTTTCAAAAATCACCTAAGAATTTAATTCCTAATGATTCATCTTTTAAGACTGTCACCAAAATGGACTTTCTGAATAGCTGAACTGATTGATAGATTCACAATATGTTTGCATAGGTTTTCTTGTAAAACAGCCACAGGATTAAAATGTATAAATACAATAAAGTAAACAACCAGGGCTTTTTTTCCCTGTCCAAAGTGTAGTTGCTCGCATGTGTACATACACACATGCATAGATCTATTTGTACTAGCATGAGTAAACTTAGCAGACTTTGTCCTAAGTGTATCAACTACCAGCGACAGCCATAGATATGCAGATAAAAAGTATGTAACTTAAAAAAAAATAAAACCTAAGCCAAATAAACTTTGAATGAGAATATCTAGATAGACAGAAAGGTACGTTTGTAGCTGGACCCTATGAAACAAGTTGTTGCCACAAAGGCCGAAGGGAAGGCAGGGACCCCTGTTTGTTATAAGCCTTTAGAGAAAGATTAAGAGCACGGGGAAAAAGGCACTCCAGTGTTTATCTGGGCGGGCAGCCAGCCTGCAGCCCAGGGAGCAGCCCAGGGAGCAGCCCCTCGCACTCCAATCCCCCTGCCGGAGCATGGGGCACGGAGCATGTCAGGAGCCAGGCAGCCAGCCTGCAGCCCTCGGAGCAGCCCCTCGCACTCCAATCCCCCTGCAGCCCTCGGAGCAGTTCCCTGCACTCCAATCCCCCTGCCGGAGCCAGCCCAGCGTGCCCTTACCTGTTCCAGGCGGCGTTGGAGCAGGCCCGGCGCTGCTGCGTCCCCCGCTCGTCCAAGGCTGCCTGCTCTCTCTTGCCCAGGTCACTGAGGCTGGGCGAACTCATGAACTTCAACCTGCGAAGAGTCCTCATGGTCAGAGGTGTGTGCGTGCGGCAGCTACGCACACGCCATCCTGTTCACACGCACGCACACGCGGCTGGCGCAGCGGCGCAGCGCGAGCGGTTCCCTCCGGCTGCTGGGCAAAAACAAACTTCCAAAAGAAAGAAGAGAGAACCGGTCTCTACGGAGCACACCTCTGCCAGCAAGAAAACAAACCTTTAATCAGATCAACTCTGACGTCACCAACTGTGGTTAATCATTTCTCCGGTCCTTTCAAGAAATAAGTCAAACTTCTGGCTGCTGCCACAGCGCACTGAAGAGGCCCCTGTAACCGCAGCTGCCCCAGCACGAAGGCTTCCCTTCCCTTCCCTTCCCTGCGGTGTCCCAGGAATCTCCCTCAGCACTGCGCTGCTCCACCTGTCACAGCAACTGCTCGGTTCCTCCAGCAGCCTGGGGGGCTCCTGCAGTGCTTCCCAACCTCTCCCCCTCTTCCTGCGCTCATAAATGGAAACAAAACTGCAGGGCCACGGACAGGAACAAAAGCAAACCAAACCAGCAAACCTAAGAACCAGCACTGACGCACTGAGACTTTACTGTGAAGTTTCGTAACTCCTGTGCCTGGCCACGTTAGGACACTGAATGCTCACACTCACACATCCACACCCTCAGAGGCTGCTCTGGCTCAGAGCCTCGCACAGAGGACTCACCAGCAATGTAACTGCCGAATGAAAAGTGATGGGCTGGGCTTTAGCATTTGCAGGAATTCTTGGTGGCCCACACGACAGCCAGACGCTTTGCCTTTCTCTGCCTTTTACTGGTTTTATTTTAAATTGTGCTAACAGCTGCACGACGTGGGGCACACTGTGTTTCTACAAAAGCCCCGTGTGTCTTATCTCCAAAGGGAAAATCTCTCTCTGACTGCAGCTGAAGGATGTGCTGCCACCAGACTCCAGCCCATGCTTAGTTCACTGTCACTCACTTGCAGCTCCGTTCCAAACCCAGGAGTGCCTGGCTCACCTTTGGGAAAGCTTGAACAGATGGAGCCAGAACATCAGAATGGCTCTTCTGTGGCTACTGCTCTGATCTGCAAACGGTCTGGTAAAAGCCACAAAGGCTGCTTGCAGAGTAACCTGCACTCACTGCAAAGGGGCTGCAATACAAGAACCCAGCCTTTGCTTTTTTTTTTTCTTTCTGTTTTCCCCTTACCCTTTTCATCTGTGATAGCCTGTTGTCCAGATTCAGGCTATAACCAGATTTGGTGTCCAAATAACAAGACAAAGCTTACAATACAGGAAAACTCAATTTCTCACAGAGAGATCTGCCCCATGTGCATCATATACTGACATGTTTTAGTAAAAAAAAATTCCTCTCACTATTCAATTGAGGTCAGATAAGATTATTTCATATAAATATTTACTTCCAAAATTTGAATTTGGTGTTAGCTCCATGGGGACCAACTGCAGAACGACTTAGAGAAATAAATATATTTTTACCTTGTGCCAGTTTTAGCCATAGTTGTTTTATCCAGCTGCTTGAATTAGCACTGTATTAACTGCCCTTCCCACACCAAAATTCTCAAGTATACAAACCAGCATCACAGTAGATGGCATGTAACATTTCACACATCTAACCTATGGACAAAGACATTACTATCCCCAGTCTCTGCCAGAGTTTAAATCCTTCAAACAAACAACAATCTATTGTGTATATGGCAGCAAGAGGAAAACAAATATATATATATATATATATATATATATATATATATATATATATATATATATTCATATTGTAAGGGATGAGATGCCTTCTACAGCATACAAGTGAGGGAGCAAACACATCTCCAGCAGAACACTGCTTTATCCAACCAGGATGCAGGGTACTTCATTTCTGTGGACAATATGGCTGGGGAGAGCAGCGGAACACAACCCAGCCTAAGCTTCTGCTAAGGGCTCAGATAAAATGCTTGTTTGCCCTGTTAAGTGAAACAACGAGTTAGATACACAAGGGGCAATCTAATTCTCTCTAATTTCATTTTCCACCTAGCTCAGGAGCTTTTCTGCTTGTCACTTGCTGTGAATTTGATAGGTTTTGCAAAATGTTATTATACTGGATTAGATCCTTGGACTTTTTAACTCTTTGATTCCATCTGCATGGTGAAATACTACACCTGCAGAAGTCATTCTATTTATTTACCACCTCATCAACTGCAGTAACCAGTACTAGACTCAGAGTCAACACATGCACCAAAACCACAGGCGAGCCAGCATCTCAATCTCCTGAAACATTTTTAACAGGGGACAGGCTTTCTCTACACTCCTTTCTCCCTTTTATGATTGCACCTGACCAAATGATAAATAATTTCAACAAGGGCTACCTCCACCCCTAACTGCAGAGTAATACTTCATACTTAAACTATGCTGTGAGTCCACTGACATGCCTGACTTCACGTCAGTCATTAACTTGACCTGAGCAGCTCTTGGGTACGAATGGCAAAGATAAAATCTGCACTTCAGCACTCCAAGTGAAGAGAGAGGTGGGGTGATGTGCCCAGGCCACCCCATGAGCAGGTGGCAGGGACACCAGGAGATCCTGGGCCCGTTTCCCATCCCAGCAGAGGAACGAGTGGATCCTGCAGGGCACAGGTAGCTGGGGATTTCTGGGGTCAGAGGGCAGTGCAGGAGAGAACAGCACTCCTGGAAGTGCTTGTGCTGAGCTGCACCTCTGCAGCCCTGGGGCAGAGCTCTCCATGCATGCAGCCCTGGGGCAGAGCTCTCCATGCAGAGCTCTCCATGCAGCCCTGGGGCAGAGCTCTCCATGCAGAGCTCTCCATGCATGCAGCCCTGGGGCAGAGCTCTCCATGCAGAGCTCTCCATGCAGCCCTGGGGCAGAGCTCTCCATGCAGAGCTCTCCATGCAGCCCTGGGACAGAGCTCTCCATGCAGAGCTCTCCATGCAGCCCTGGGGCAGAGCTCTCCATGCAGAGCTCTCCATGCAGCCCTGGGGCAGAGCTCTCCATGCAGAGCTCTCCATGCAGCCCTGGGGCAGAGCTCTCCATGCAGAGCTCTCCATGCAGAGCTCTCCATGCAGCCCTGGGACAGAGCTCTCCATGCAGAGCTCTCCATGCAGCCCTGGGGCAGAGCTCTCCATGCAGAGCTCTCCATGCAGAGCTCTCCATGCAGCCCTGGGGCAGAGCTCTCCATGCAGAGCTCTCCATGCAGAGCTCTCCATGCAGCCCTGGGGCAGAGCTCTCCATGCAGAGCTCTCCATGCAGAGCTCTCCATGCAGAGCTCTCCATGCAGCCCTGGGACAGAGCTCTCCATGCAGAGCTCTCCATGCAGTGCTGCTTCCAGAGCAGTTCCACAGCACAGACTGCTCGCCACTGGCCATGGAGAGGGATGAGAGCCCTGCTGGACTTTGTGGGAGGGAGGGGAGACCTCCCAAAGGCTCAGTAAGGAGCACTACAAGCTTCTTAAACAGAACAGCTGTACTCAGCACAATCCCAGAGCGAGGCTGTGAAGCACTGGCGGGTTAACTCATTCCAACCCAGCATGCTGTACATGGTACTAACACCACTGCTTAGCTCACACAAAAGCTGCAGCTCAAAGGTTAAGTAGTTTAGAACACAGCTACCTCAGTGAGGAAGGCACTGCCAGCCCGAGCTCCTTCTCTTCCCTCCAACATTTCTCCTGTAAAAACAGGCCAGTTTCTACTAGACAGAATTCTGTCATCTGTGGGGCCCACGTCCTGCGAGTGACTGCACAGCAAGTCCCAGAGCCACAGGGGAATTTCTGCTCACCTGGACTCACTTCCATCTCAAGGCCTGAGACAATATATTGGTAGGTAAATACCTGGAAGTTGAAGAGGATTTATGCTTTCACTAGAAAGCCATGTTAACATACACATCCAGGACCTTGTATTAGACACTGCTTTTAAAATCACAAGGGTTACTCCACAGTTCCCTCCTGATATGTCATTTATGTCTGCAATATTCCTACTGGGACCTGTGCTTTAAAGACTGTATTGCTGTGCCTAGAAAACATCAGAAAAAAAATCTGGGCAATCATCCCCAAACGTACGTTTGATTTCAAAAGAATGAGATTTGCTGAAAAAAAATAAAGGAAAAAGAAAGAATCATACATTTTATTTACTAATGTTAATTTTTACAATTTAATTGTACTGTCTACTTAAAAGTTTCTTTTTGATCATGAGGAGAGGGAAAAAGAAGCAAAAAGTGATGTTCACAATGGGAAGCATTAAGAAATCCCCACTATATGGAATCCCTAATAAAGCTGTGACTGCTGTGGGTCAGCATGTTTTAGACCACACCACTCTGCTGCTGCAATGACAGGTGAGCACTGCAGTGGGATCAGCACCAGGGGGAAGATACAAACAGCAACAGAGTGTCCTCTCAGCTTTATCCACCCTTCAGAGCTCTGCCATGAAACAAAACTGCTCAATAAATACAGATTTCAACTGGAAAAGAAAAAAGCAGCCCACTACTTCCCTTCATCTCTCTTTTGGAGAAGAGAGCAGAACTTCCCATAGTGCTGTTGAGTGGTGTGCACTTTGTAACCAAAGAAAAGAATAGTAAAGTGTCTCTGTGGCAGAAAGGAGTTAAAAATCTCCCTAGAGAAATGCATTTCAGTTTTTCATGAACTGCACCACAAAGCTCAGGGCATGCCTTGACACATGCCAGAGCTCAGGAATTAGCCTGACAGAGCAGCACAGCCCTGTTAAAGGCACAGCACAGCCTGCCACACCAGCAGACAAGGCATGAGGCAGAAGGAAGGAGGTGCAGTCACCAGGAAAAAATAAAAACAGCCAGGAGGAAATGAAGCTGTAAACCTTATGACTCATCAATTCTTTTGCTACAGTGTCTAAATAAAGCTCCTTTATAATCAGAAAACAGAGAATAAAGAGAGCAAAGAAAGCATGAAACCAAACAGGGTCTATTTCCACCCTTCCTCTTCCATCCCACCGACTCTCTGCAACCTCTGGAGATAAAGGCATTCCTAAGGATGCCTTTTGTTTATTGTGGCTAGTCCTAGGACACCTTTGGTTTTACTAATCCTTTATCTTATTTTTGCCCTCACCACAGCCAAGTACTGATTTGTGAGAGAGGACTCGGCCTTACTGGGAAATCTTCCCACCCTCTGGAATACCTCCTGTACCTCTGCATCCTGAGACCAGCCATGCCTGCACAGCCTCAGCTGCCTCCCTTGGCACTCAGACCCCAGTCCCCAGCAGGACCTAGCACAGGCTGTGAGCTGAGCAGCACCTGCTGAAAGCACCCATCAAATCCCACCCCTCTGCCAGCAGCTCTGGCTTTACAGAGCACAGCAACACAAGCAGCTCTTGAACTACAGGAGACAGCTAAATCTGCTTTGTCTTGCTTTTCAGGATAAAGGCACCAGGAGAGAATCAGGACAGGAATAGGCCTTTTCTACCCCCATCCAAAATATCAAGCTTTCATGATAAATCAATTCTCCTGGCTTGTAGTACAGCTCCTAGTTATCTCTGTAAAGGTTCTGGGCATTAAAGACAGTGCAGTGGTCCCAAAAATGCAGCGGTTCTGCTGGAGGAGTGAGGACCAACGCTCTGGATTACACACCTGTGGCATGACCACCTTCCACTCACGTGCCCCAGGAAAGGAGATGGATGGGGTCCTGAGTGCCAAATGTACCCGTTTCAGGAATTCCTGCTGCCCACCCAGTGAATTAACAACCCATTAGCCCAGTAACCAGGGTACACTCCAACACAAGCTCACAACTTTGCACTTAAACGGGAGTCAAATCTTACATTTTGCTTTAGAAAGCGAGGTCTCAAGAGTTCTGATCAGTAAGTAAATCAAACATTTAAAATACTTTGTGCTCTTATTACAGGATCACGAGACAGTGGAAAATTAATCTTACAAAGTAATTGAGCTTCTAATACACGTGATTTTTTGCCTTCCTGATCTGTGTCAATTCTTTCCTAAATTGCCATCTTGCATAATTTCAGTTGGCTCCCAGAACACCATGACCTCAATGCAGCAGCCACAGTATCTCAGTGCTGTCCTCTACAGTTATACATGGTACCCTGCCTCCCAAATCTGTGAGCCCTGAGAGATCAGAAGCACGTGCTGCACAGTGCTATTTTTCTTACACACAAACATTTCTGATTCAAGGTCTCCCAAGAAGGCTCTGATTGCCTCGGAAGGTCACCAAGACAGAGCCCACTGCAGCAACTCACGGGGTTTCTGAAGAGCTGCACTGGTGGGCAGCTGCTGGTCACAAGGGATATCCTGCCTTTCTCCCAAAGCCATGACATTCTTGTGCAGTGTTCTCTCTGAGCATGGCTAGAACACGAACACGACAGACTCCTGTCCCCTCCTGTGCCCACGGCAGGGAGGGGGCAGTGCAGGAGCCAGCTCTGTGAACGTGGGCAATCTCTGACTCTGCTGGGATTTGCATGGTGCTATACAGCCCTGCGGAACAAATCCCGCAGCCCTGCAAGAATCAACAAAAGCCTAGTGCTCGACACAAATGGATTATTTCAGAAAATTCATCATTCTCCCTTTGCCCTCCAAGGATATCTTTCTGAATAGAACAATTGCCAGAGAGGTTTAAAACACAATCCCAAATTGCAACATCTACCTGTGCACTTGGACCCCGCAGCACTCGGTGTGATGGAACTTGCACAGGAACTTAAAAATGGGGACACTGTAGGAAAGGGCAGCTACCACTGCAATAAAGTGGCACAGAACAGGAATTCCCACCATTCCCATCCCACACACATTGGGAACAAAGCATGCATTACTACCAAGGAAATCAAAATAAAAATTTTCAAGAGCCAACCCTTTAGAAAAGACCCCATTCCTTAAAAAACAAAGGAAAAAAGCTGAAGCCATGGCAAAGGTTACATTCTGCAGTTTAGTGAAGTAAATAAATTGCTATACATTCAGAAAGAAAATCCTTTTGCAGGACAAAACTGACAACTATTTTCTGGGAAAATTTCTAAGTTGTTTCCAAAAAAACAAGATTTCCTACATGTGATGATAACGTTAAAAGGAAAACCGAACAATAGCAAAGACAGAGTAAGCACATTTACTTCCTTTTCACATAAATGCACTTGCACACCCCCATACACACTCTCCTTTGACAACCAGCATTTAACAAAAGAGATTTCAAGAAATCATTAAAAATCTATTTCTTCCTTAAAACCTTGAATCTCAAACACCAATCCAATTCTAACAATAAATATTGAGGGTCTGGCCAGGCCCCCCTGCAGGAAAGCTGCAGCTGTGTAAGACATTCCTACAGCTCAGCTGTTCCGTGTCCCTTCTTGCAACACCCAAATATATATGTATATAAAATTATATATATATATATATACACATAAAAATATAAAATTATATCTATATCTATCTCACACATGGCCAGCCAGGGCAGCTGAATCTATTTCTGCAGCACTGCCTGATCCTGGTGAGCAGCAGCTGAATGCTCCTCTCGTTCAGCTCCAGGGCACTGTGGGGTGACACCCCAGCCCTGCCATCACCCACTCTGCCTCTCCTCTTTCCTTTTTCCCTCAAGGACACAAAGTTATTTAGAGGCTCCTCTCAGGCAGCAACAACTCAAGCAATTTTCTGTATTGCTTGCTCACAATCCTGATTCAGCTGTAAATAGATTCCCAGCTGAAAGTTCCTGCATAGCATTTTCTGAGTTGCATTAAGGCCAGATGGATGCAGACTGACATGCACTGATGCTAAAGACTCCCAGGCACTGCACTATTATTCAGGTATTTTCCTGTGGCACAAATATTGGAGGAGAGACGTTAACCCTACAGAGTCCAACAAAACGAACTCTCCAGGTGTCTGAACTGGGAAACATTTTCCAGCTGGAATAAGTATTGCAGAAATATATGCTTACCTGCTAAAGGGAGAAGTAAACAGGACTGAATAGCAAACAGGGCAGACTCTGCAGCAGGTTTCCCAGAGTCAACATGGAAATTCTTGACAGGCAACACAAACTGGTTGAAAAAAGTCAGGCCCTTGCAAAAAAGTCACCTCTGCAAGAAAAGACCAACAAAAAATCAGTATTGTAAATATTGCTATTCTACAGTATGTTTCAGGAGTGCACTAATAAACCCATAATGACACACACAGAAGTAAAATAAGCACAATAATCAGTGCTGTTCCACCTCATTGCTGACTCAAATATTTCTTCTTGCACTTTTCCCTTTTCTGTTTTATTTTCTTCATGGAGAGCAATTCGTTGCCACCATCATTAAAAGCTTCACTTACCTCCAAAGAAGGCACAGGACAGTGCAAGCAGTTTTGTGTCCCAACATCAAGGAGGTGACAGAAGAGGGTTTGAAATATGCTGCATGATCTACTGTGATCTGCTTTGGAGAGCAGCTGTCCTGGAAGGCCCAAGAAAGCCTTACATGAAAAATTTAGAAATACTAGGAATTCTTTGTTTAGGGCTTCAAATGATGGGTACAATATCCCTGCCTGCCCTGGGCTGGTCCTCAAGTGCCCCTCTGTGGTGACTATTAACACAACTAACAAACCCAGAGTGGGTAAATAGGACAGAATTAAGAATTATGTGACTTCTAACTCCAACATAAACACCTTCATAATTAAAAGACTATTTTTTCAAATAGCTGGCCAATAAATATAGAACACTATTAGGCAAGTAATATATGTGTGTGTGTATATACTCACACACACACACATGTATAGATATATATACACACATGCACATACCATACACACAGATACACAGTGGTATTCTGAGTACAGTTCTTCATGCCTTGCACTTTGCAGTTTTTAGTACCAATTCTAACTGCTAAATTTAACTAAAATACACATATGTCCTTCTTGGTTTAGTTCATCCTCGCTATAAATCACTCTGGGTTTTGTTTCATAACATTTCACACTCACTTTGCAAGGATGTGACTGCATGCATTTAAAAATATGTATTTTAAAGTTAATGTTTGCTGCACTTCAGAGAACAAAACAATCCCCTTATATTCCCCCTTTGTCTGCTCCTTCACTCTGTTGCCACTAATTTTAGGTGAACTTAGAGCACTGGGCAAGGTCAGTGCATTCTGCCTGCAACGCATTGAGGAGCACGAGCACAGCAGCTCACAGAGAGCTGCAGAAATCACTCTGAGCTCGGAGCTGCAGAGCCCTGCACTGCTGTCCGGAGCCCCTGGGCCAGGGTCAGGACAGCAAGCAGGAGATAACAGAGCAACGAAATGCATCAGCAGCACACAGCAGATAACACAGCAACCAAACCACACAGGGACGTGGTGCAAAACCCGAGGCACAAACATGGTCACCCAGAGAGATCCCACCATGTGCTCAGGCTGAGGCTGAGCAGCAGGCCTCAGCCAGAGCTGCCTCACACGATGCACCCTGGGCAATGTGTGGCTGACACCACCAGCATGATTGAGCTAAAAATCCACGGCTGAGATGCTGGGGCTCTCTGTTTAACACCAAACCCACTGCTTTAGAGTCTTTCCCATCACCTGTGCAGTTACCTGCAAGAAACGCAGCATTGCAAGAACCCTTCCCAGCTGACATGAGCAGAGACTTGGCTGTGGGGTATTTTATGGGGTATTTCATGGGAAACCCTCCCAGCCACGCCCTGCTCCCTGTGTTGGGATGTGTGCCATCAGATCCAGGAGTTTCTGTGGTAAAATACAATCCAGCCACTTTGATTGCTGGTTTGTGCCCATAAACGCTGGGCCCATTTTGGGGTGAGTTCGGAGACCCCTCCTGTGGGTGGAAGCACGGGGTAGCATTTCCCCAGTCGCCAGGAAGGGCTCCCCAGGGACTGTGGGCTCCGCATGGCGCTGGAGTATTGAGGCACTCGGCGATGTTTCCACCTCTCTCAATCACTAATCTTTCTCTTGTACAGCACTGATCAGGTGCATTACCTTTCTGACTTCTGCTTGCTGCTAAAGCCAAGCATGAAGTTTTATCAGATGTATCACTTTACTTTTGTGCTGCCTTAAAACTCACAATAAAATGAGACCATTCTTTCCACTGGTGTCTGTGCCCTTTAAATCACTCCTATCAATGGCAGAACACCTCCTGACTTCAAAGGGATATTATCAACAGAGAGCACAATAATAGCAGATTTGTTCCCAAAAAATGAAGTGCTTATAGGTATGAAAACATTTTTGCTTGGAGAACCTGCTTTGACATTTCTATGCTAGCAGACTAAAAAAAAAAATCCTCCATTTTGCCTATAATCAGTGATAATTTGATCAGCCAGGATAATAAACCTACATCATAGTGCCACTCTTTAGGATTTAAGGGGGTCATTTCAGAATAAAATTGCACTGCCTTTTTTACTTAAACTGACACTTAACTTTGATGATTAAAGCCCAGCTATTCCATCAATGCAAGCGTGAAGTATAATTTTTTTTTTTAAAACTTGTTGAAATACATTTATCTTGCCTTTATTGAACATTCAGTATACCTAAAATACTTATAGGTTCAGGAGAAAAAGAGAGTGCCTAGAAAAACCCAACTCACGATGCTGCTGCATAGAAGTTCTGGGAGACTGTAATGAAATATTCTTTTCTCCAGCTGAGCAGTTGGTGCATTCTTTGGCAGATAAAGCAATGAAGATTTCACTTGTCATCAAGTATTGATGCCTTTCCTTAAGCCAAGCATTTCCCAGCAGCAGGATTTCAGAATTGCATGGCAGTTTTCTCAGGCACACACTGCTGGCCTACACTTGGCTCCAGGGACAGCAGACACGTGAGGCTCTCAGAAGAATCTCTGTTCATGACCCAAAATTACCTTCAGGAATTCTGTAGCTTTAGAGACCTCCTGACCAGCATGGAAACAAACAGGACTCCAGAGGCTTTTGGACCCTGAAGCTGCCACACAATCCAAACTCATCCCAAACTACTCTGAGCCACAGGCAGTACAATTTCCAGGTAAATTCTACATGTGAAGCAGAGGAGCAAAAGGTGCAGTATGGTTAGTGATGCTGTTTGTCAATTTGTTCAAAACCAAAATGTTACTCCTGGCAGCCCGTTTCTGTTGCATACATTCTGAGTTTCTTTTCCTTTGCATTAATTACACTGAGACTGCTTTTATATCTCTGAGGACATAAACTAATAAAGATTAAAACCTAAAGGAAATAATTCTCCTGAAAATCCTTTGTGCTACTCTTAAAAGAAGCCAGATGAAAAAGTTACAGAAAGCTCTGGATTAGAAAGTGTCAAATTTAACTCTGGAGACAAAGAGAAAGCTAGAATGTACTACAAACAAAACTGTAAATTTAAGGGACTAATTACAGGATTGACACGGTCTAAAAGCATCAATATATCCCCCATCTTATCTCAGATTATGACTTTTTCAATACTCAAGGCTCCTGCTTAAAAGCTCTCGTCACACTCCCAGCTCCAGGAATTCATATTTAGAATCTCTCATTCAGCACTGTCTTAGCTCTGTCTTCATGAAAATCATAGAAAAATATTGAACAATTTCAGCAGGAAAAGGCCAGAAAATCCTATTCCTAGTGTGCATAATTTGAAGTTAAATTCACCTTTGATGTATCAGTGCCTTGGTTTACAGGCTGCCCATTTATAAGTCTCACATTAAAGTCAACGTCCCAGAGTGATTTCAATAAAACATTAAAGCTCCAGGTTAACTCAAGGAGATGAGCTCTTGGACGGGTGGGCACAGCATAACCAGGCACTAAAAGTTCCCTCTGAACTCTCCATGAGCCCTTTCAGGACAAAACAGAAAGGTCTTTCCTTTGCTTCCATTAAAGCACTCATGAATTTTTGAAGTAGCATTTAAAGGGTTTTCATGCTAGAGGATGCAGTGAGTGTAAATGAGGTCATTCTGTAAGAATTTCAGCTGAGAACATGCTGGATCTCCTTTCCTGGCTCAGCCACTTCAGGGATCTCCGAGACAGAAACTGCCAACTGCTTTCCCCCTGAATCTGAGAACTGAATAAATCCAGGCAGCAGCCTGGCATTACCTCTGCAGCAACACTTCTCTGCCCACCACAAAATAAAAGCATAAAAAGCATTCTACTTCATCTTTGCTTTTGACTGAAATGCCAAATGCCAACATCAACATTTCTTATTGGCTTCCTTCCTCATTCCCAGGAGCTGTGGGAGGTGGGAAAAGAAAAATGGGAACATGTCAGTTTGTGCTCCTATTTACGAACAATTCCTGCAGGGTGGGGAGGCCCTGCTCAGAGCCATCCTCACCCTGAGCCCAGGGGTCTGCTGAGGGTCAGACCCCATGTGGGAAACACCTTCAGGAACAGCTGGGGAGGCCCTGCTCAGAGCCATCCTCACCCTCAGCCCCGTGCTCAGCCTGTCTCCTGAGGGTCAGACCCCAGGGGAAAACACCTTCAGGAACAGCAGCTTCCAATCAGGAACAACAGCAACCCTCTGAGGAGATTGGGACAGTGATGGGCCCTGGGCAAGCTGGACTCACAGTCAGCTCAGAGAAACAGATCTCGCCCTTCTCACCCAAGGCACTGCTCCTGCACAGGCAGCAGCAAGCAGCTTTGGAGGAGCATGAGGAGAGGGAGAAAGGCACCTGACAGCAGAGCAGAGCCAGGAGCGACCTCCAGTGCAGCAGGAATGCACGGTCTGCATGGCCAAACAGGAATTATTAAGTCACAACTCACAAACCCCCCTGACAATTTTATCTGTCCCTTCTCACACTTGTGTAGACTTGGCTGAACATGCTCCAAGGATCACCAGGGTTATCATGAACATCTCTACTCACACCACGAGGCTCCTGGCACACCACCTTTCAGGAATTCACCTCTCACATGGCTCCATTTCCATGGTGGGGATCACAGACAATGCCAGCAATGGCACCAGGTACAGGCATGTGGAGAAATGCAGCTGAATTTTACAAGAGATGCTCACAAAGCCCCAGTGGCGAACAAAAACTCTGAATGGATGGCAGGGACTGGGCCAAAGCAATGGCAAGCATTTTAATTCTCAATTCCCATGGCCACTATGACCACAGGGAAACAAAAAAAAAAAAGGAAAAAATAAAGAGTTGAATCCTTATATGGACAGCACTCTACCGTCATGAATCCTGAAAACAGAAATAATTGTCACTTGCATTTAATAGTATGAGGGAAACAGGAAAAAAACTGAATAAGAATATGAAGTAGGCAGTTCATCCTAAGCTCATTAGAGACTGCTTTCAAGTCTGCAAAGAGAAATTTAAGCAATGATGCCACTACTGTCCCTCCTGCCCCAAAAGCAAGGACGGTCACAGGGTTTTACTGCTCCTGTGTAAATCCAGTGGCATCAGCTCTGCTGCCCAGGAGGTGAAGCTTTGCTGAAGCTGCCAGATGCAATAGCAAGATAACTTCCTGCTCCAGCAGCCTTGCAGAGTTTGAAGAAAGGCAGCAAATAGCTGGGGGCAGCAACTTCTTATATTTCCTCTGACATTTCTACCACATTGTGAGACTCAGATTCTGACTCTGCATGAGATGGCAGCTGCTTAGTCAAAAGCTTCCCCGGGAAACCCAGAAATATGAGAGCACAGCCTGCATCTGCTGCCATTCTCAGAGCACACACTCCTGCCTGAAGAGAACAACAGAAGAAAAGGATCTAAAAGAAGCCTGTGCCTCTTCTGCAGTGAGGCTGACGTGCCTGGACATCAGA